ATTTCATTGTGGTCCTTGAAATCCACACTAATGCCTCTTCCATTTTCCCCCCAGTAAAAATGATTTCAAACATGTTTTTAAAATAACTTTGAATGCCTTATAATGGTGTTTCAAGGGTCTTCTCACTCCAAAAACAGTCAAATCTCCACCCACAATGGTATGAAAGATGAGTGGAACTGACATCTTTTCACTTTCGGTTGGTCAAAATGATGAGAATAAGGACACAATATAGTGGGCTTGAAGATACAACGACAGTGCAAATCTCTGGGCTACGGCATTGTGTCCACACTATCTAAAAGCAAGCAAAAATGCAGTGGCTAAGCCAGTGGGGCTAAAATGCAGATGACTCTGAATGCACACTTCCAATGAATGTGTACGTTGTAGACACACACATTTTGTGTTATCTGAAAATCTATGAACTTAAGTAGTAGCTATAGGTTGGCTATGTGTAAGGTGATGATCAGGGTCATAATGGGGACATTACTACTAATGTCTTCTTTGACATAAAAGCTATCTTCCCTTCCTGCACAAACAGCCTCAACATTAGAGTTGGCCAGGTAGAAAATATTAAAAAGAAAGAATTTCACCTCCTCTATCCCATATCCCAATTATGATCCCTCACACTGACAATCATAATTACCATCCTATTTATTTCTTAATGATCACTCCATAAGGGTTCAAGGCAGGAAACAACAACAAATAGCACAATACATAACATCAGTTGAAAGAGCATATAAACCCAATATGTATTAAAGTCCATAAATAAACACTTTAAAATCTATCATTCAAAAATAATTTGGATAATCTGGATTTTGAAAACATAGTGTTGAGCGTTCTTGTTTCCATAAAAAGGATCACTGGTTACCTAGGGAATAGAGCTTTTGTTACTGTTTTAAACTATAAACACCCAATTGACAGAACAGCCTTGGTGACTTAACACCAGCGTGAGCACTTTTTCAGATGCCATACCAATTACCTCTTTGTGCTGTTGCTTATACTCTACAAAACTGACTCCAAAATTGGAAGCTCAAGGCAGCTGACTTTTAAAAATTCAGTTACAGATATCAACATTAAAACTGAATTGAATTTATTTATGTATTTTTTTAGTCTATTTATATACCACCTTTCTCATCCCTGGGGGGAATCAAGGCGGTTTACAACATACTAATGGCAAGAATTCAATGCCACCATAGAGATGATAAAATAAAATCATGATAACTAAACACTGGCATAAAACTATAAATTAAAATCATTACAATAATTAAACAGGAATATACAACATGTAAACACTAAGAAAAAGTATTAAAAACATCCTAGTATAAATATTAAAATCACATGATCCAAAGCAGTTAAACTTCTGGTATTCAAAAAGCAATTTCACACATAGTTAAAAAACACAAAACACTAAAAACAAAACAGTACCCTCCCAAAAGTCTTTGCTTTATAAATCTTCAATTCTCAAAAGGCTGTCAAAATTAGAAAGACTTTCCCAGATGAAAGGATTCATAGGAAAGGAGTTCCAGAACCCAGAGGCAGCCACCAAGAAGTCCCTGTCTCATCTCCTCATCAGTCATGATTGTAAAGGTGGTGGAACTGAGATAACGGTATCTCCTAAGATGTCAGGTTCAGATGGGGAGATATGGTCAGTCAGGGCTTTGTCTATGTCAACAAAATAACTCAGTGGTAATTCAGATTATTCAGACCCGGATTCATCCCATTTGCGCTACATCTATCTTTAATAAACCACAGGGAAATTCACACACAAATTCAAATCAGCACTGTTTTATTTAACTTTCTTCTCTGATACAACTTGCCTGTGGCTGCCTTCCTAACCACTTTCAAGCACAACCCTATTGGGGATGTCTCTTTCTTGGATATCAGAATAAGTAATCCAGCTATGCTATTTACTGCAAATGGGTAGCTCAATCGATCCCTTCATATTGGTTGGGCACCTCGTTGTGAGCAAGCATCTTTCCTAGCAGGGCTCTGCCAGGAAGCTGCTTGGCTGGCAAGGAAGCAGCACAGAAATAAAGAAAAGGGAAGGCAATGGCTTTCTTCTTTATTTTTGCATTGGTAAGTGGTGAAGGAAAGAACAATGTGTGCCACCCTTCAACCTGTACCACCAACCCAATCTAGATTGTAAGCTTATCAGCAGACTGGATTTTCCTAGAAACTGTGGAGCAAGAAGTGAGCTTTGTTCTTTCACACTAAAGCCTGATAGGACTGCTTTCCCTGCTAAAGGGATCATTTATTTATTGTGTGTCAGAATCAAGGCAGGTAAGAGAGGAGCACGACTTTTTTTATCCATATTGACATACCCCTGGACCTAAGCCCAATGGCTGTGCCATGCCAGCCAGGTGGAGGTCAAATATTCTGCCCTCCTCGCCACAGATATTGATTAGCTATGTGTATTTTACTGAGCTCCATCATATTCAGTTGGCAGCTGTTGCCCTCCTAGGCTACTGCCAGCTTGTGCTATGCCAGCATTAAATAGGATCACTACCTATTTTGTTTGGGGTTCTGAGAGCTGTGAAAAAAGTAGTTTTTCTAAGCTGTAAATTAGATTTGAGCTATGTATTACAGAGTTAAAGTAAAGTAACTTCTTCAAGTTCTGGGTTAGAGTTGCAGAATTTACTCTACTTCCTCCCCCCTTATTTATATTTATCCATGGTCAGATAAACCTTAGTACACAGATTTCATTTTACCTATCAATGGGACTGAGGGTGGGAGTGCACAAAGTTAAAGCTCCCCATTTCATTAATAGGTACACAATGTAGTTTTAAAATATTTATCACATTTTTTTCAGATTGGAAAGGTGTCATGTTTTACCAATTAACTGAAAAGACAACAAGGTTCTGAAACTCTTAGAAGGGGAATGACTTTCAGAGAACAGGTGAGGAAGCCTGTGTAAGATGGCTAGCTCTGGAATGGACAAACAGGAAAACAGAGCCCCATCACTCTTCCTTGCAGCCTGGCCTCCTTCTCAGTATGGAGCTGACCTTGCAATTTTTGCCTGGCGGCTGTGTGGGCTATAAGCCAACTCCCCAGAATGTGCTTATTGCTAACTTGAGCCACCCAAATTGGCATCAAACATCAGGAGAGAAGTACAGAGGACAAAGGGCAGGGAGGGGAGCAAATACATAAATGGGAACACTTAATAAGTATTGCAGCCCGACTTAATTGGAGATAGGAACCAGAGGTTTTAATAGAGCGAGGCACAAGATTGATATCTTGTTAAAAGTCTAGGCAGGGCAGAGGGGGCCCATTGATCTTGAGAGCTCTTGTTAGCAGGTTCTGGATGAAACTTCGGGGAGTGCTGGGGGATTCTGTTATCATTAAGGAATAACTGTCAAGCCCATTTTATGATAATTAAAATACATTATTTCTTAGCACAGTGATGCTTTTGAGGATGCATTTCTTTTCGACTAACTGATATGGTCGTTTAGAAAGAAGTAGTTAAGAAAGCATGTTTTATGTGCCTGATGAATACATCAAATGCAAGTGGGCTGCACTCCACTGAAATTTACAGCTAATAAAACTTGTTTGTCCTTAAGGTGCCTTGAAATTCTGCTTTGACTTTGCTGCTATAATCTACCATGGTGACCCCCCTCCCTTGGAAATTTCTATGATGCTTTGAACAGCTTTGGGACAGAAAACTGGTATAAAATAATAGGTGTAGCAAATAAATAAGCAGAATTTGTTTCATTTTGTCGCATCATGAAAATTTTCCTACGGTAAGGGAATATTGTGACACTTCCATGATGACACCTCCCAATCATTCTGTCATGGTTACTCATTCTCATAAATCTATCTCCTCACTGTGAAAACAAGTTTGAACCCATAGGGTACATAACATCAATAGTGGATATATCTCCATTTCACTATGCCAAGATAAATTGCTATTCCATGTGTGCATAGTCACATTGAATTCTATCTCCAATGGCAGTTTCAGACTGCCTGAAAACTACTATTGAATTCTTCCACAAGGCAATACCCATGAGACACATGAGAGGGCATTTCAATTCCTATAAATACAAACAGAATTACCTCTCAATGTACCTCGTATAAAGGAAGCTCAATATTGCCCAGTGACATAATAATCAACGAACCACATGCAACCATTAATGGTATAGGGCCCTCCAGTTTTCATTCTGGTTTTTTTCATGTCAGGAGCAACTTGAGAAATTGCAAGTTGCTTCTGGTGTGAGAGAATTGGCCGTCTGCAAGGACATTGCTGAAGGGATGCCCGGATGTTTTTCTGTTTTACCATCCTTGTGGGAGGCTTCTCTCATGTCCCCATGGATGAGCTGATAGAGGTAGGTCATCCACGCTCTCCCCGGATTCGAACCTGTAACCTGTCGGTCTTCAGTCCTGCCGGCACAAGGGTTTAACCCACTGCACCACTGGGGGCTCCTCTGGTAAACCCTAAAGAGGTTCAGCATCCCTTATCCAGAATTCCTAAATGCGAAATCCTCCAAAATCTAAAATTGTCCACATGGGTGGCTTAGATAGTGACACCTCTGCTTTCTGAAAGTTCAATGTAGGCATACTTGATTTCATGCACAAAAATATTTAAAATATTGTGTCTAATAATACCTTCAAGTTATGAGTATAAGATATATATGAAACAGAAATGAATTGTGTGTTTAGATTTGGATCCCATCTCCAAAACTTCTCAGTTATTCCAAAATCTGATAAAATCCAAAATTCAAAACACATCTGATCTAAAGCAATTCAGATAAGGGATGTTCAATTTGTATTTCATTGTGAGTCACAAAGGATATCAAAGATGGAAGAGATTCAAAGGGCCATCTAGAGCAATTCTCTGCCAGTGCAGGATGTTACATCTAACAATTGTACTTACTCTTATTGAATAAAAAAATAGTTGAATTTATTAATTTCATTAAAGCATTTATAATACTTACTGACCAAGTTTAAAACTGTAAAACCTACTTGCCAAATTTAAAACACACCAAAATACACATCAAAACCCTTCTTACCAGACATAGCAGTGAGATCAGCACTTCGGCTAAATACTTCAGTAATTCCAAGGCCCTTCAAAACATCTTTCAGATCAATTTCCTGTTCTATTGTGAACCTAGAAAACACACACATAAAAGGAGGATGAGACTTCTAGCATTCTTTTCTCAACAAAAGGAAGCATATTTTGCACACTGTCGCTAGAGAATCAGAGAAAGAAATTGAATTAACACATAAGAAGCCTAGAGGGTGTTGGGTTACTCCTTATGGGGATAAACACTTAAAAAGTGGGGGGAGGGGGAAGAGCAAGCGAAGGCAAGAAATTGCAATTATTGAGTTGACATTCATCAATAGCTTACTTGCAGTAATATTTGAAGACTAATTGTGCAACTGTGTCACTCTCAAAGCTTTAGAAAGCAAATTTGGAGATAGAGAAAGAAAAAAAATTCCATCTACAAAGCAAGCAAAAATGCAGCAAGTTTTAAACAGTGGCTAAGAATGAGCTCTAAAGAGTAATCCCCCCCCCTCCAAAAAAAAAAACTCCTCTACAACAAAACTATGATGAACATGTCTAGCAAGCAGGCATGAATTTTTTTTACTTGAAATGTTACCAAACTGTTTTGTGTTAAAAAGTTATTTTTCAGAACTACTTAATCCCATCACAAAGTACTTGATGAATGTAAGTACCAACCAATGGATAAACCAAATGGTTCTTGAAAGCTGGAAGACACTGGAAACCTATGTTTTTCAACCTCAAATGAGAACCAGGCAACTGGAATTGGTTACTTGGTTATCCAGGTCAGTACTCTGCCCCAAACCAGGCTTGGCTAACTGCTGATCCATTGTGCTTGAAGTGGCAACAGGTTCAGTGCAGAAAGGGTTTTAGATCTCTCAGCTGAGGAACCCAAAAACATAAATGCAAGGCAAAGGACTACCAGGTTGTTGTTATATACCTTCAGTTCAACTCTGACTTATGACAACTTTTCTTGGCAAGGATTCTTGATTTGCCGTCTTTCATGGCCAAAAGCATGTGAATTGAATGCTATTCCCCCTGAGTCCTAGTCCAACACTCATATCACTATGCCACATTGGCTTTTTGGGAATACAAACATTTTAATAACCAATGAGACATCTTGCTCTTGAGCCCAATATATGACATAACGATATCTACAAGCGCCATATCTGGCCATAAATGATCAGTTATTGCCCAACGGTGGCCAATGTGCAATTCCAAGATGGAGTTGGACTAGGGCTGCCATCTAGATAATATAGTCAATTGTGAGAGATCCAGTTGCCCACCTTTATTTTTGAACAATGATAACTGGTTTCTCGAAGCTGGGGGAAAAATGACATATGCTTTAGCACCTATTCACATGTGATCTAATTTATTTATGCCAACCAAAAGATCAAGAGGGCAATATTTCTTTGCATGGGTTCCTCCCGCCTCTTCTCATTTCCCCCTTAAACTTAGCTTATTCCAGTAGCTGTACACAGGCAACAAACAACAATGCTGATCTGGAGTGAGGTATTCTGGGTTAGCATTGCCATGGTCCACATGGTGAGCCACTGAGCTGGCTTGGGGGCTGGCGAGTGTCCCCACTGCACACCCTTGAGCTGACCCGGCAAATGGATGGTGGGTATATGGCTCAGATGCACTGGAACTGGTTGGTTGCCACTGGACCACCAGGCTTACCTTGTCCCCATTGTTCTTGCCTTTGTGGTGACCACTGGACATGAAAATGGTGCTGATCACCTTTTGGCACCTCTAATGATGAAGTTCCAGGACAGAGGAGAGGGAAAAAGGAAAAATTGCTTCCTTTTCCTTACTTCACGGATCACCTTATTGTTCCAGTTAGTGTTACTCCAGGAATCAAGCAGTGACTAGCACTATTTTCCTGCTCAGTGAGTACCACAAAGCCCAGAATGACAGGGCAATGTAGGTGCGATCCCCAAGGAAAGCAGGATGGTAGTGTAAATATCTCCAGTCATTTCCACTAGCCCAAACTACAGCCAAGCTTCAGGGAAGCTCTGGAAAATTCCACGATTTTTAAAAAATGGAGAACAAGGTTATGTTCCGGTGAATGGACCCTATGCGTTGCTTCACCACTGCAGTGTCCATTCAGCTCCAAACTGACTCATATGGCCAATGCAGATGGGCCCTGAGTTCAGAGTTCAGAAATGGCTTGCACTCAACATGATGGGGGGAGAAGGAAAAGTGCTCAATAGGCTAAAAAAAAAAAAAAAAAAAAGGCAAACTGCTGCAACAATCCTGGCTTCTGTGCTCATGGGCACTACAGATATTATCTTTGAAGCTATAATTTATTTATTTATTTATTTATTTATTTATTTATTTATTTATTTATTTGCGATATTTCGATCCTGCCTTTCTCAGCCCAAAGATGACTCAAGGAGGACTACAGGTTGGCAGCAATTCGATGCCTCAACAATCCACAATATACAATTAAAATATTTAAAACAACATTATAAAATGTGTTGTCAAAGTCTTTCATGGCTGGAATCACTGGATTGTTGTAGGTTATTCGGGCTGTATGGCCGTGTTCTAGAAGCATTCTCTCCTATTCTTCTAGAACATGGCCATACAGCCCAAAAAACCTACAACAACCTAACATTATAAAATCCATACAAAAACTATTAAAACATATATATAATATAATTTTGGTTAAAGTCTGCTGTGTGCAGAAATACAAACACAGAATCCAATCCATGAAAATGTTTCTCAGGAGTAAGTGAAATGGGGATTTCTTCCATTCCACCTAAAAAATAGAAAGTAAAATTCCTGGCAAGCTGGATTCCTGCAACTAACATGTCTATATGAAAAGTAATGATGAGAAAAGGGTAAGCAGAGCCAGATTTGAAAAGGTCACGGGGGCATATTGACAGGAAAAGCAGCACTACTGTAAAAACTAACAGGGTTTTATTAGAATTTCGACAGTGTTAAGTAAGAAGGGTGTCAGGCTTACTGAGAGTCATTGTGGAACATAGTACATAAGCTGGACAGATTCATGAGGATCTTCAGAAATCTGGACAGCCAATATAGATTCCAACTGGTCCAGCCAAAGTTTAGGGAAAAAAATACTTAGAATTCTAAAATCATAGAGTTGAAAGAGAACACAAGAGCCATCCAGTCCAATTCCATGTTACGAGGGAAACTATGCTCAAAGTACTTGCCAGACGAAGTACCTGTCCGACTATTACTCCCAGAACCCTCAAGCTAGTATGGTCATTCTAGAAGCTGTAGTCCAAAAATCAACATTCCCAGGCTTTATGTTCACCAAGCACTCTTTCTAAAAGTAGAATCCAAAAGAGATTCTGTTTTGAGAATTACAACGCAATTACATCATTATGATTTTGCTATAACTGCCATGGTTGCATCCCAGTAAATCTTGGTCTTTAGACTTTGGTGACAATTCTCAGTGTGTCTCCTAGACTGCAAAGCTCATAGGATGTTGACATGGCCATTAAAGTGAAATCACAGTGCTATAATTGTGTGGTGTGAAAGGACCTTCAATTTTAGGAGGTAGCAGATACTGAACTGGGCACACAGATCGTGTTTTGAATGTGAATTATGGGTCTGCTGTTGAAACCTGGTGTTTACCTGCCTTGTCCCCTTAAGGTACATTTGAATAGGCTTTAAAACTCTCAATCAAATCAAACAAGCTTTTTTATGACAACAAGATGCTCTATGTTTTAAAAAACCGAAATGCCCAATGACATTAACTGGGCTACATTTCGGGGAGATGTTCTCCTGCCATATGGAACTCTCTCCCCAGGGAGATGTGCTTGGCCCTCTCTGCTGCAATGTTTAAACAGGCTTTGAAAACCCACCTGTTTCAAATGGCTTTTAACTGATGTGCTTTATTGGTTCATGCTGCTGCTTTATTGATATTTTATTGCCATGGCTGTGTAAATGGCTTTTATACTCGCTGAATTATATTTTAACTATTGAGCTCTTTGTACATTTATAATATTAAAGTTTCATCATAATACTACAGTGTAGTTGTATGCTTATATTTTCTTTACTGCCTGAAGTTGATTTGGTCTAGAAAAATGCTTTATAAATGTTCAAATAGATCAAGTGCCATGTATGTCATGTCATTACCTAGATGTCCTACAAGTTTGCCAAGAACAGCTGGGAAGGAACATACCTTCCAACTGTACTTATTTGGTCAGATGAACCTTCTGCTATTCTACCTTTTCAGCAGATTCCAGGGTCTGAATCCCCAGTCACCATGGAAGCCCATTGGATCACCTTGGGAAGGTCAGACTCTCTTAGCCTCAGAAGAAGGTCAAGGCAACCCTCCTCTGAGCAAATCTTGCCAAGATATAGTCACAACAAGTCTATTACAACTCAAAGGTACACAATATCAACAAGCCAGGTTTACAGCAGAGCTTTTATTGCTGATGGCTGGGAATGGAAATTGAAATAAAGATGTTTAGATTCTTGAATGTGAAATAATACTGTATTTCTTCAATGCTAAGGCACACTCCCCCATCCATATAAACATCTCCAAAAATGGGATGCATCTTAGAATTGCAGGTGTTTTTTTATATATATGGCAGGGATTGGACTGGATGCCCCTTATAGTCTCTTCCGGCTCTATGATTCTATAACTAAAGCTTTTCTGTTGATGTTACTATATCTTACAGTTGATGGCATCTTATAATCAATGAAATGTAGTATTAAAGTCTACAGATCACTCTTAAAATTTTACATTGATTATCTTTTGGCAGAACAGTCTTCTGAAATGAAAGCCAAAGTTGTTTGTTTTTGTGCAGTATTATTATTATTATTATTATTATTATTAATAATAATAATAATAATTTATTTATTTATTTATAGACCGTCCCCTCTGCCTGGAGATTTGGCGTGGGCTGGTCCATGAGGTCATGAAGAGTCAGAAATGACTGAACGAATGAACAACAAACAACAAACAACAATCCCTCTCCCTGAGGGGACTCAGGGCAGTTTACATACAAATTGGCAAATATCCAATGCCTTAGTCAAGTTCAAAACACATCAAAATAATACAGAATAATACAAAATAGCATGGAGAAACTTATAACAGAGTTTCAAAAATTGTATAATAATGCCTAAAC